ATATTCTAAATAATTAAGTCATATAAATGCACCAAATAATATGAATATCCTAGTGAAACTACTCATCAAGCGAGTACGACTTGCCAGCATGAGTACTCATATTACTTGCAGTAGTACTCGCGACATTTTATGTGTATTTCTACTTTTCGTGTACTCTGTCGAGTACTCAGATGAGTTCTTTTTCTAAAATTTACTCGAAGGCAATAGCTTGAGTACTCAATGTACTACTCATCCACGGTTGTTCCAACATGTTTGGCAAAGCACTTATGCAATAATATAAAAAACTCGGATAAAATTGTATAAGACAAAAAACTGATGTAATTAAATCAAAAATACAAAAAGAACTATTTTAACGACTCAAATTTTTTATCCCCCATTTTTTCCGACAATTTATAAATGCTGCTTTTATGAATGGTTAGTTGAAGAATGAAATAACGACTTTTCATTTTTCAACTGTTCGCTTCCTAAGTACGGTTGTATATTTCTTTAAAATGTGAACGTTGATATGTTTGGTTTCATTTATTCAATTTTAGATGAAATATCTTTCTAGATCAGTACAAAGCTTTTTTTCACATTAATGATGAAAATTAATAAAACAAAAAATGAATAATAACTTCCACCAAAAATATCGTTAGAATTTGTTATAACGAAGAAATATGCATCATATGATAGATGATTTATTTATTTATTGTCCATTTTTTAATAGTAGTAACTCAAATCTATTTTTCAGTCTGAAATATGTTTGTTTTTATTTCTTATTATATATTTTATACGTGTATTGTTAAACCACATCTTGATTTCGTGAATAATTTATTATTCATTTTTCTTTACTAATGATTTCTTGTTCTGAAGGCGTAAATTCCTTAAATCTTTCTGTTTTTCTAATGACGAGAAGTATCGATTTTCTATGTAAAAAAATTAACTTGATGTGAAATCCTAAATTATCAAATTTATTTTTATTTAAAGTTTCGTGATGTATTAATGTATTTTTTGTTTTTACTTTAGTATTTAAATAAAATAAATGTAGTACACTTGTACTGAATAGAATATAGATCCATGAGTATTTAAAAAAAACCATTGGAATACACAAAAACTGTGTATGAATACTCACAAAAGACTCAATATTACACAGTAAGTACTCGATCGTCGTACTCAGATACTCGGATTCTAGCATTAGTACTACTGATGAGTACTCAATATCAATACCCATGAGTACTCGCGGCATTTTCTAGCGTGAGTACTTTTTGAGTACTCTCTTGACGAGTACCTTCACTAAGGTAGACAATTTAAATTCAAATTTAATTAATAGTATAAATTGTTGAACAATCGTTACACAAATTAGCTAATTGCCAAATATTTTATTGTTGATTCATCGTCACAAGTAACATCGACATGTGATTCAACATGTACCGGTTTCATTGGTTCTGAATTGATACATCACATTCAATGACTAGTGGCACTTAATGATAAATTTTTCTTTGACTTCTTTCGACAGCATTCATTACACTGATACAAACTATTTCAAGAAGTGCAAACAAAAATAATTCTTTAACAATTTCTGTAATTTCATTCACCATTTCTGATAGATTTGCTATTCTTATAATTTTATCTACAATTCTTGTTCAAATTGATCACTCTCCACTGTACAGTCTTAGTTAATAATTTTTAAAATGTTTAGAAAAATAAAATATTAGTTGTCATTAGGTTCAATGAATGTAAAGACTTAATTTACCTGCGAGAAAAAATGTTGTGTCCAAAAATCAGTATGCTTGGCTGTTCATATGTGGAGAAGCCCCATCTTAGAAATATTTCAGAGGATTATAATAAATCAGTATCTCAACGTTTGTAGCATTGAACAAGCTTTTCTTTTTATAGTGTAAAACCATTCATCCCAAGACATGTTTACAAACATCATTCATTTGTCTGGAATTACTATGTATCTTCCATTACATAATCGACATGTGGATATGAGTGAAGAGAAGATCCACAAGGTGGGGTGTAGATGCGACTCTTCTCTTCACGCACATCTAGATCTCATCCTTCTATTTTTTTAATATTCCAAACGAAAACGTATCATTGACAATTCATAATTTTCTTCGGAGTAACATATCGAAATCTATTTGTGTAAGATCTCATTTCATAGAGCAAATTTCGTTCTGTTAAACTGAATATATTGTCTTTTCTTCTATCTTCATCATATAGAGAATCGAGACTTGAAACTAAATCACCTACAGTAGTTTTCCTCGTTCTAGTTTTCAATACAAGTCACATGTCTTTATTGATTCCCATGGATCCACAAATAATCTTTTTATAATTTGTGATTGAACGAAAAAAACGTTATCAAAGAGGTATAAAATGTTTGACATCTAAATAGTGCAACAAGATTTTTCTGAAACAAACAACATAGTCCATTACTCTATCGAAGGCCACCTTTCTATCTGTTTATTTCTTTTTTGATATGTATTCAAACTTAGAATTTGATGAAAAATTTGCGATTGAATTATCAATTTATGTGTGGACATGTACAAAATTAGTAGCTCTATATCGATCAATTCTAGTTTCTAGTGAAGAGTTGAAATTAGGACATCCCTATATGTATGCAGTGTAAACTGAAAGTGCAAAATTCAAAACATCTATCACAGTCATGTTTTTAATAAACATGCTTTACGCATCTAAAAATTGCATGTCTTTCAATCCAGAAACGAAAGCTTATTTAATTACCTCACTCAGATGTAGAAAGTTGTGGATCAAATTCCTAAGTTTAATTTATTGTCGGATGCGAACTCACAAAAACGTGCACATGCAGCTCTCTACATTGATTGTATAGAGCAAATTGTTGCTGAATCTCGTTTATATAAATACAATTGAAGATTGAGATGTTACTCTTCGTTTGATGGATTTTGTTTATCGATTAACTGTTCAATTTCATTTTTTTTTGTTAACATAATGCTCTTTGCAGCTAAGTGAAAACTTTTAAACATTGAATAATAGACAAATGAACAATAAGAAATCACTGTATGACAGATATTCGTAGAGAAAACTCGGGTCTAGATCCATAGTTCCCTACTGAGATGTTAATTGTTTATTCTCAACATCATGCAGGAGAAATACTAAGAATAATGAATTGATCATTGATGATGTTCAATTAATTCGAATTTACACGCTATAAAATATAATGTATATTTTCAACACGATGAAGATTTGCTGTATACCAAAAATAGATTTGTTACAAACAGTACCAGTCAATAAAGCTTATAAATTTGATTGTGTACACCTTTTTCCTCATAAGATTATCAACAAAAAAAAACAAATATTTATCGAGTCAATTCACATATATAGTCTCTCTTGACAGGTACCCATCTCAAGTAGTATCAAATTTCAAAGGATTATTTCATATCATTAGTAAAAATCAAAAAATCCAATATATAAACATAAGTTAATTTAATATTGGAATTATTCAATTAATAAACTAATCTGCCCATATCTCCTGCAAGATGTTTCTTTTGTTCGAATACGTGATTTTCGTATGAAAGAAAAACAATACACTCATTGAAACTGCAGTTGTAACAATGGCAGTAAGCCGAACGAACATATACATATGCAAATTTTACTGAAGCAAAAAAAATTGTGTGGCATGTATAGGAATAAATTAAATTTTTATTATTTGTTTTTCTTAGTAATGAATTGTTTCAAACATAATTAAGAAAAATTGAAAAAGAAGACTTGTTCTAATAAACTTATCAATGAATAATTTATATTGCAAATTAAGGTGTAGGTGAAAATAATAGGCTTCTTTTTCGTTTCTACAATCCACATACTCATATAGGTAATGAATGATTAATTTTCTTATAGTGCGTTGCTAACTCAACATGTTTAATACAATAGTATCGATGACAACGTTTTGCAGAGGCGTTTTTTTAAGTATTTAAATGTCATCGAAAGAATCTGTAGTAATATTACGCAATTACTCTTGCGCAATATTACGTGATTTCAGAAAAAAAAACGTATCTTCTTACCTCCAAAAATGCGGAGATCAAGAGAAAAATCATTGATGGAATCTGTTTTGGTTCTTTTTCTTTATCAGTTCTGTTCGAATTATGTAATTTTCCTCTGATATGATTCATATTTTATATCTCGGTTTTTTTTTCTTTCCTTTTGGATATTTCCATGCTCTACGACAGACCAAGAGAGTATAAATACCCGACAAACTTTACTATAGCTACTATTTTTTTTATTGAGGACACACTTACAAGTTTATTATTTTTTTAATTTAGATTATTATAGATAAATAACGATGACTTCCCGATTCAAATCAGCAATTTTACGTCATACTAACTCAATAAAACACTCTAACTTTGTTGGTCTAAAAGATACTATTCGCTCTCATATTCCTAAAACTAACAACGATGCTTCTTATATGTCAAATGAATATATTCATTCAAGTTTCTTCGATGATGAAAATTACTTATCGATTATCAAATGTCTTGATGGTGGCCATGAAGTCTGCAAAGATTGTATAGAATATATGCAAGATTACAATGATCTTCTACAAGAACATATTGATAGTCTTCATTCATACTCAAAAAAGTGGAAATCAAAACTAGAACAACAACCATCAATTTCATCGTATAATACAACTAAACTTGCTCAACGTGAAACTGTTTCTACACCTAAACGATGTGCTGAAATCTTACAAACTCAACATGATACTATTTTAAACGTTATTGCTACATATCGTACACAAGTGGAACGAATGTATCCAAATGAACGTATAGGTACTACTCATAAACATCATCATACTGAAGCTATGAAAAACTTATTTAAAGATGCACGTTCAGCATTATGTAAATTATCAAGTAAACTTGAAAAGTTACGTGAGCAAGAAACAAAAGCACACAATGCTCTTCATGATGCTAATATTCAATGTGAAAACCTTAGTTTGGATCCAACAGCGAGTAAAATTAAAATTTCAAATGCGAAAGATAATCAAAGTAAACGAGAAGATAAATTAGATGAAATTCAACGAGAAATTGAACAAATCAAAGCAGAATATAATCAAGAATATGAAAATTATCGTATGAAAGCAATGAATATTTATGAAAAATGTCGAACATTAGAAAAAGAACGTTTGGATTTACTTGGAGAAACTTTAATTAAATTCAATAAAGTAGCATTTTCATCGGAATATTTAACTGAACAACATGAAATTTATGAAGGTCTTATGTTAAAACTCAAAGTTGAACGAGATTCTTTAAAAGATCTTAATTTTTGGGCGAAAACTTATCATGTTTATGATTCAACAACATCTCCTTCATCGGAAACAAATCACAATGAAAGTATCTCCTCTCAAACAGCTACTACTCCAAAAACAACAAAATCATACAAAAATGAAACCGAGAGTTCTACAACAAAAGAAGAAAACATACAAGAATCAGTTGCTGAAGGTGAAGAAGAAGAACAATCACAAGCAAATACAACAACTTCAACAAAAACTAAACTAAAAAAGAACAAAAATAATACTAAAACGGAACCAACTACAACGAATGCTGCGCAATCTAATCAAGTATAATAAACAAAATTAGCAATGATATAAATAGGAAAAAAATAAAATTTAGATTATTATTTTTTTTTTTGTATTTTGTAGTCACGAGTTTATATATTTTTGTACAGTAACTGTTTATTTTTGTCTTCTCATGTTGTGATAAACTCGGTGCTCCAATTTTTCTGTGATAATAAGAATGTTATTTTTTTATATGATCAATAAAATTTATCTTTTGTTTGAAAATAAAATTCGTTTTATATTCCTTGTTTTTAATTAGATCTATTCATACAAATTAAATATGAATTGTTGTTTTCAATATACTAAAATCTAATTTTGTAATGTAAATCAAAATTTAACTTAAATTTATTATTTGAAAACTATATTCCATTTGTATAATTGGACGATAATGAAGCATGAGCAAGAAAAATAAATGTGATGATAAATTATTAAAATAAAGTCATAGCTCAGATATTTTTACAAACATGAAAAGAAACATTTAACTACTTGTTTTAATGTAGCATAGCTATGTATAATAGGAATGCCTATACTCTTCATATAGATTGAATTGTAAATAAACAGAAGTTTGCGATTATACAATGTTATCACATCTAATTGGAAACCAACGTCCAAAAAGAAATTAGAGTTTGTGCATAAATTGTTTTTTTTGAAAACTTGCAAAAACTTTAATTCTTATATTTACACGTGTAGCAATCGAACTTACGAGAGAGTATTCCCAGGTGCCGGAACGTTTTCAAGTCGGAACTTAGCGCATCTTGTGGATCTTAGTGAGCTGTGTCTATGGTAAAAAGAGTTCGTGCTTATGGTTTGTTTCTGAGGAGATCGAACGTTTTTATTGAATTTTCGCTGCGGGGCTTTAGTTTTGTAGCAAGACCATATTTTCGAATTTCGACCTGAAACTTTGCCCACATAAAGATCTCAATTAGACTAGCTTGCATAAACGGTTTCAGAATTTTTGGACTAAGACTCTCAGAGAGACGAAGCTCTCAAAAAATGCATGCTGTCTATACTATATATGGAAAACGGGCTACATCTTGAAAGATCTATATCTCGGAGAGACTTAGTCCAAAAATTTTGAAACAGTTTATGCAAGCTAGTCTAATTGAGATCTTTATGTGGGCAAAGTTTCAGGTCGAAATTCGAAAATATGGTCTTGCTACAAAACTAAAGCCCTACAGCGAAAATTCACTAAAAATGTTCGATCTCCTCAAAAATAAGCCATTAGCACGAACTCATTTTACCATAGGTACAGCTCACTAAGATCTACAAAATGCACTAAGCTTCGACTTGAAAGGGCTCCGGCACCTGAGAATGTTCCCTCGTAAGTAATCACGATGGCTTTGTAAAAATCTAAACATGTCGTATTTAGAGAGATTTATTCATGATTCAACCGTTACGTGCGAAAATTTTGAACATAAGATTGTAAAACAGTATGTTCATGATCTGAAGCTATCGACTATTATGAAAAGAGTCGAGTCAAAAGAAGAAGGCATTACTGGTTGTGTACAGAGTATATTTGACTCGTTGATGCCTGATTTTCACAATTATGGAAAAGAATATGTCATCTGAATACGAGAGTAAACTTGAAAGCAAGAAGCTTGGTATGTTCACAAACGTTTCATTGGGATACGAAATCTTTTTTATGAGTGTACGGTTGCATTCTTAGGCATTGAAAACTGGAACATGAATATGACGGACCACTATTGCAGTGGCCGAAGCACTGATTGATTTTTATATTTGCAGCTGTCTAGCCAGTAAATCAACGAAATAATAATATGCAAAACCATTAGCAAATATAAAAACATGAGAAATAACATGAAATGTCATTTTTCTCATTGGACTTTGAAAGTATAATGAAAAACTTTGTTCTACACAATTATGAGAATATAAAACAGTTTTTCATAAGTTTGATCATCAACTTTATGAAGTTTTGTGTTTTCGAATATGAATGACAATATTTAATAATATGTTGATATTTAATTATTTAAAAATTGGTCGTGATATTAGAGTTAGTAGTCGTATTTTTTAAAATACAAATGTTATATCTGACAGCCTTATTGACTCCATAGATAGATACGTTTCCAAAACTGATACTACCAGCAAAAATTTATAGAACGAAATTGAATTGTTTCTTAGACGAATTAATACAAGACTGCAGTTAGGACGCGCTTAAATTCTCGTTTTCATTTGACTGATTATTTTTTCAGATCCGAAATAATGTGAATAAAATTATATCGAACTTATTGAAGGCAATAAATATAAGAGTGACACTTTTCGTGAAAGAGATCCTCCATCGACGTAGTGTACTGCTTTGAAATTTTTTTTCAATACTTGAATTTGCGATTTGTGCATGAAAGTTCGATTAATAAATATTTCTTTCTTGTTTGAACTGAATCAATCAACTGGAAAAGAGATACATGTTGACTAGAGCACAACTCGACATAGAAAAAATACGGCTTTTTAAAGCTTTTTCAATATATACAATGCTAGCATAGACTTTGTAGTACAACGAAGTTTTCTCTTGATCGATAAATTCCAAGAGAGAGAAAATTTTGGAGAAATAAATAGTGAAAAGCGATGTAATAACGAGATCGGAATCCTTCCCCATTAGCGCCATGATTAAGAGATGGATATGATTAGTCGAATATTTAATTTGACTGTTATAGAATCTGAATAATAAAGAGCAATTCATGTCAGTGTGAATCGCTCTCAACATTTAGATGCATACCAATACCGATAAGAAAAGAAAACTGATGATTCTAACTCCGATAGAAATGTCTTTTATTTCCGAAGAAAAAAACAAGAAAACATGAAAAGATAAGTGGCATAGAAATCAAGTAGGTTTAAGTGTGTTCATAAACAGATTTATTAACATCCATTTAGATGATTAATGTTATTTGGTTTGCAAATAATATATGAATGGTTATGATCATAGAAGTATGACCACAGACGTCGTAGACCATTACCACCATTAACTTTCGTATCCATATCATTAACACCTGGTACATACCAACCGGACCATACACCAGTGTACCCTTGAATTTTGTATGCAATAATATCACCACATGTAATAGTCCAATCAACATTTGAATCCACACCAGAATTTAACCAACGATAATCGTAGGTTGGTGATTTATTTGATACTTCTGTGCAGTTACCTTGTGATGTAATATCAAAACAACCATAATTACCACTACCTTGATCTGGACATGTAGATGGTTGTTGACCATAAGATGAAACCAACAAACAACATAAAATAACGATGATTACTTTTGTAGTCAACATTTCGAAGCTTGTTTGAAAAATTAGTGTTATGAGATGATCACATAGTTATTGCTCTTTATATACGACTATTACTTCTTCTACTACAAGAATATTTTGAATAAGAAGAATAGAATAAATTAATCATATATACGCAATAAAAAAAATCAGGATTTTTTTTTCAATGTCGCAGTATGCTTACATATACAATAAGTGTACATAATTACTTGATTAAAGACGAACTGCTTTTAAATACTTAATAGATAGGTTAATGTGTAAAAATAGAAGTAAATCTAATGTAAAGAAGTATTGAAAAACAAGCCGGGAGCAAATTAGTATTTAACTACACAATGACGATATTGACACAAGCATACATTGCCTTGATTTCTTCTTTACTAAAAGTTTATTACGTAGTTCTTTTAAATAATTATGATCAATCATTCAAAGAATAAATTTTATTTTTACTGGATAATACCAAAGTATGTCATGTCATATACAATGCTACGAAAATGAATTATTTTCGTAATACTGACCTATATTACCTGACGATATTCTTGAATAAATTCAGATTTCGTTCTGTGCATTTAATATCTACTATTTTCGAAAGAAGATTAATTTGATCAATTAATACAATTGATCTCAATTTAGTTTTACATCCAAATGTAGTCGATTAATATTCATAGCTATTATAGAAGTAGCTTCTGCCCATACCCATAAATGCTGATGCTCAAACAACTATATACGGTTTGGAAATTTGACTAGAAGAGCAAATGTTTAAATAGAATAAAGCTGGATTTTTCAATATGTATTTTATTTCAATATACATGTTACTAATATAGACGTTATGGACTATCTAGTCTAGGCATAGTTTATAAATATTGTTCGCGGCAGTTCGTCATCGTTCCTTACAAATGTTAGATCATCCATTGTAAGACACAATTGTTAGTCTGTATAAAACTTGTCATTGCATCTTTAGTTCTCGAATAGTTCCTAGGGATATTATAAATATTATAGATACTTGTATATTCTACAAAAATGTTACGTTTTTATCAACAAAAGAGAAGAAGAATGAGATCAATTTTAAACTAAAGTGAACAAATTTGTGCGAGACCCATGTGTAGGAATAAAAAGCTGAATTAAGTGCGAGCAAACGAAGACATTGTATTTTCAATAACAACATACTGAGAGTTAAATCGAACTCAAAAATTTTATTGTGTTCTTAGTATAACAAGAAGAGTTGTAGCTATCGATTTGCTGAACTAATCGTCTCGAGCACAAGAAACTTCGTGCCAAGTCAGTTGATGGAAGCAAAGATATTTGAATAGGAATTATTGACAGGTTATCAGTTGGTGTTGGTAGATAAGGATCGACAGAAAAGTCTCAAGATAAGTATTTACTTAGGAGTATCCAAAAGTAGTGGCAATGGCCTCTTAGTATCGTATAGTAAGCTTGAAAAAAAACTTTCTTTTTATACAGAATGATGGAGAAAAAATGCTCTTTCTTTCTATGCTTTTTAATCATACTTCAATTGTTATCATAACAATAAAGTTCTAATAAGACCAGTTTATCTATCATGTATTACAGTTATATTACTTCATATTGTCTGCCATATGTATTCTTTTCTCTCGCTTCTTTCAAGACTTTATCGTTGATTCGTATGTATACAACGACACACGTCTTTTTTTGTGCACGCACCATTTATTATCGTGTTCTATAGAAAGTGAAAGAAACAAAGTTGAATCGAATCTTAACACTCTTCATTTAAGTTTTAAATGAATAAAGAAAATTTTCGCTTTTACTTTAAAGTGCATACCGCACTTAATATCCAAGCAACAACTATTCATGATGAGCTATGTACTGTTTTTAGTGATGAAGCTGCTTCTTTTCGAAGAGTTGCAAGATGGGCTCAATGATTTCGTGAAGGTCGAGAAGAAATTGGAGATGAAGAACGATCTGGTAGACCTGTAACTGAAACTACTGCTGAAAATATTAGAGGAACTGCGAGAACAAACTGGTCTAAGTTATGGCATCATTCATAGAATATTATCCGATCATTTGAAACTTAGAAAAGTTACTGCTCGTTACATACCTAAACAACTTAACGAATTCTTAATGAAGTAAACGAGTTCGAATATGCAAAGAAAATCTATCAAGATTTGAAGAAGGAAGATGGCGATTATGTGACGTGGCAACAGGTGATAAATCGTGATTTTATCATAAATAAACTAGTCGAAAATCATCGAATACTGCTCGGTTGGCAGAAGAAGATCTTCCACCTACAATAATTCGATGAAATAAGTTTCCTTCGAGAACTTTATTTAGCATTTACACTGTTTGCAACCCGTTGTCCAAGAAATCAAGAAGAAAAGACCTCTATCAGATACTTATGCTATTAAAATTCATCATGATAACGGAAAAACCACATGTTCATAAAGATCTTTCCGATTATCTTCGATCAGAAGGAGCTACCATAGGGTCACAATCACCTAATTTTTCAGATCGATCAACTTGTGATTTTTGGTTATTCGACTTGATCAAACGAAACCTAAGTGATCATACTAATTCCAAATTGTTACATCATGCTATAACCGAGTTCATGTACTCTTTCGATAAAGAAGAGTATAAAAAACATTTGATAAATGGATTCAAAGAATGCACACTCAATCAAGTGTCAGTCAATTCGACCATTGTTTTTTTCTATTGAGGATCATGTCCGAACAACTGCAGCAACAATTGAAATCTTTAATGATGGAATGTATTCAACATCCAGACAAACTTGAGATATACACGAACAAGATTATCGATTTGTTTGAAGTCAATGGTGAATATTTTGTCCAAGTTAATAAACCATCTTCACGACGAAGTAACAGTATTTTCGATGGAGATATTTCTTCAATATTTCCATTAACGAATCAACGTCGTCGTTCCAGTGCTTATAGTAATACAGATCTGATGAATTATACCAGCAGTGTATTCTATAACAATGATGGTATTGATTGATGATCTTTCGTTATACATCACTTGCCTATTCAAATCTTTCTAATATCACTTGAAAAATATTGATTTCTCTCCCTTCTACATGGAACATAATGTCTGCTTTCTTTTTCCTTCTGAAAAAAATCGTAGAATGCATTCCGATTGTAATTTTTAAATTGTCATGAAACAATAAATAATGGCACATCCATAGCTAAAGCCACATCATGTGACGCAACATCTACACCCACACCCTCAGTTTACTATCATCGTATCAAACTGTAAATTATATTATATACAATGATTGAAAAAATTAATATTCTGAATAACATATTTCAAATTTTAATGAGCACGTGAAACAAATATCTTATCATATTTTACTCATGATTTTTTTTTCATGTGGCAAACCTACTAGGTGTCAAAATAATGACAATTCATACCTCTGCAATTTTGAATGATATTTGTTAAGTCAAACAGTTATAACAAAGCAAAAAATTGTGAAAGGTTCCATAAGTTTCTACGGTGTTCACATGAGTATTCACGGCAAAAACTGATAGTTCAGGCTCAGAAACGACCGATATTGTATTAGTTCGGATTAATATAGAGAAAACCTATACTCACTATGAAGTTTTATAAAACACTCTTGTCTAACTGATTCATCATTTCTAATTTCATTTCTTTGCTAATCATAGATTATTAATCGGAAATGTTTCGAACCAGAGTGTTGTTCATTTCAAAAAGAGAGTGTAAATATTAGTGTTCTCTTGACCCACAACTATATCCAAATATACTATTTAATATTTCTTTCAATAATTCAATATGCTCAAAAGCTTAAATTTGATTAGAAAAATATTCAATCACATCGTCACCACTGCAATACCTTTGAAATGGCTAGCTATATTACCCAATCTCGAAGTTTTTCAGTCAATTTTAAAAGTATATTTCTTATCGCACCAAGCACGTTGCTATAGTCATTTGCATTAGAGGCACGATCTCTCTTCCAGTATTCTAGAGCCTGTTGATCAACATAAACTAATTCAGTAATCATTTTTGTTGTTAATGTATTCAATGCCACCGAATAATTTCTTTCATTTATTTCATTGATCTTATCACTGCGTAGTCGTTCCGCATACAAAGCCTTTATGTGGCATGCGGCACATATAACAAGTATTTCTTTTATTCTACCAAAACTGCCAGTATTTAATTCTCTCGATATCCACGAGGTTAAAGATTTTGCTCAAAAAGCGGCTTATAATATCCTTGTGAATATTTAAAATACCGTAGTTAATGATGTGCTCTTCCCTACCATCTGGCACAGGATTAACCATATTATACACTCCGGCACTTAACTGTCTCGTTACAAAGTTGTTTATTTCTGTACATACTTCACCACAACTCATCCTTGCAATTTTCTCTTCTGCATTGTTTGTAGTTAGTGCAGTTGTTATATTATGATTTTCTGCAAAAACAGATAACTGAAAATATTCATTCCAACTTCAAAAACTTTAGGGTAGCATTACTCCACATGTGATCATATCCACATTCTATATCTCTAGTATCTCTTATACTAGTACTTAATTGATTTTCCAAGGAAATTCTGAAAAAAGTATGTAATCGAAAATTTTCCTCCTCAGTCTTCTGTGACCTCTGTAATTTTTCTCACATTTTTTCGGAAAAAAATTCAAAAATGAAAAATCGGCGAAATGCGTGTAATTATGTTTAACATAAATATACCACTGCACTCTACACAAAGGCAACTAGTGAAAGGTAGTCTACTTTCTTTAGACGTAGTTTTCACATCGAAATCCATGAAATCATTCTAGGAGAAAAGAAACCAATGAGGTAAAACTCTCAAAACTAAAACACGCTATAACGAAAAACAACTTCGCAAGTATCATTCTGTCTCAGTCCACTCTCTACATCGGTCGAAGAAAAAAGGAAAGAAGATCAACATTGAAATTATGTCGAAACCGCGCCATTTCATATGAAACTACCTGACTTTCGATCCAAAAGCATGCGTTATCGGAAAGAAAAAAAAATGAATGCGATGAAATCCACCAAAAACAATGTCACAATCGTCTCCCTCTGTGTCTTCCAGTACCTCAGCATGAAAAGAAAATAAAGAGGAGAAAAGTTTTAAAATTATGTCGAGGGTAAGTGTGGGTGTGAATGCAAATGTTGGTCTTCTTGTAGCTCGGACTCCCATCTACATCCACACCCTCAAATATAAGTAGGAAAGAATGATTCAATATCAAAAACAAAATTTTGAAATTTTGAGAAAGCGTAAAGCTTCATATTAATGTAACAAAGTAGATATCAATAGCGTTTAGAACATATTTTGTTCAGGAGTAGAAGAGACTTTAATTGTTCATTCTCTATCGATACTGGTTAATAAAAAACTGTTAAAGGGTACAAAGTTATTTTTATTCTTTTGTAGTTTCTGAAAATCACTGTTACTTATTTTAATGCATCGATAAACAGTTAATGAGTATAGAGAATTTGATTTTTTGTCTATGGGAGTTTTCCATCTGTTGGTAAATGATGAGCAAAACTAAACCCATTTCAATTAAAATTTCCATATCTACAGTTTGAAGAACTTGATTGATTATTGAAGAGAGGAAACATTCTCCTACATATCACCGAATAGGTGAATGCTGATCAAAGTCTTATTTGAACTCGTTGACAATTTTCAGCATAGTTTGATTATTTGCGCAGTCGTTCTACTACGTCATCTTCATCGCGTTCAATGTTGAATAAATTTTTTTTGAGCATTTATAAATACTTGAAAGTAGGTTTGACTCTATCTCACGCTTTGTCGAAGAAATCGTTCAGGGAAGCTATATTTAGTGTAATCGATTCATTATTGCAAAAAATGGTTTCATATTACAATCAATAATTAAATTAGCTCGAGCTAGCAAAGTAATTTCGTTACATATTGATTTATGTTTACAAAAAGCACACACCCAATGAGAACGTACAGCTTTTGAATCATTTGATTGTTCATCTCGAAAATATTATTTTGGGAGAAATTGAAGTAACAAAACCTTTTGGATAACTATCGATTAGTGGATCATAGCATTAATAGACAGGTTATGTTTATTACTCAATATGTTGTTAGAATTTTTGACTGCCTTCGATTCTACCATATTTTTGAGTTAACTATGGTTAATTTTATTACAGTATTTGCTGTATCAAACTTACAATATAATCTTACAGTGATCCTTGATGCACTACTTTTCCACAATATTTTCATGCTCATCCTCGTCCTATAAATGCAGGTCCTATAATATATTTCAAGATATTATAAGAAAAGATTAATCGAATTGTATTCAGTTTTTGTGTACTGACAATCTATCAAATTGTAACTACAAAAACTCAAAGTTTATCTTAAAAGAATGGTCAGATGAAAAAATAAATCGAAAGTTCAATCAGAAGTTGGTGTGGGTAGAAATGAATTTATTCGAGGTAGAAACAAACTTATGAATATCTATCATCGACAATCTAGAATCAAGGGAAGAATAGACCATCGAGATATTATTCGTAAAGATATAGACAACAATTCATTAAAGAGAAAGTGCCCTGATGATAGCGTTATGCGAAATCAACAGTAAAAGAATGATCCTTGGTTGATATCTTCTCTATCTGTGACCTTGCTATCAGTAGAATTATGGACACTTCATGTGGAGCTATTTTATGACGAGATGCCTTTTTTTTCTTATTTCAGATCGGATACATGATAGCCAACATATTTATGAAAAACAACTCATAGGTGAGAAAATTATCAGCATTATGTTTGTTCAGCATAGTGTCTATCAATGCTCGAAGTATCAACTCATTTTGTACGGCAATACTTTCATTTAGCATATATTCTCATACCATGCTTGAATCAGTTCTTACAGAAACACGAAAGATGAATATCAATCGAGTGTGGGTGTCCGCCCTCTTTTCGCTAGTCCATACCTTGCAACATAGGTATAACAATAAACATCATTGACTAAATTAAGATAATGAATAAAAACAAATGTAAGTAACTACATGAATGAATCATGTGGATAAATCGATGAAAGTATTAATCAGTAAAGAAAGTAATGCAAGATGATGAGAAGAGGATTGTAACATGATGCAAATGGATTAAATTTCTTTTCTTTTTTTTTTCACAATTTTTTTTCCTTTGTGTTATATCAAGTCTGAGCGAACAAAAAAAAATAAAGACAAAAAACAAAAACATGGCATCATCTCGAAAAATGTCAAAAACAAAACAAAATATAGGAGTGATCATGATTTAAAATAAATATATGATTATGTATAGAAATTTCAAACAAGAATGACGCTAATGACTGTAATAGAACAGTATGTAATAAAGTAGAAAACAGCCAAAACATAAAAATAAAAAGTAAACATCTACAAAACGCATGATGTTTCCAAAAAAACAATATACACAAAAACAAAGCAAGAAAAAAGAAACATAAAACATAAAATAAACTCACTGCCAGATGTACGCATAACACACATAGAGGAAATTTTTGAAAAGAAACAGAAAGAAAAAAAAAACATATTATTTGATCGTATCACTGTTTATACACTCACAAAACAAAAAGAAACAAAAATAAACGAAGGACAATACAAGTCACTGTTCTTTCAAATAGTATTTTTCTTTTCTCTATCTGAGTGCGCGAAAAATGATAACTATTTAAAAAATTTTAAGACAAAAAGAAAAACAAAATATATTTTTTTTTCTCCTATGCCCAATGATTATGTAAATGAGTTTGTAATTGAAAATGTTGATGTTCATTTGAATCATTCATACTATGTTGAGATGAACTATCTTCATAATCATTTGTTTCATCTTCTTTTATATTTGTTAATAAATTATTTGTTAAAATAGATAATGAATTAAGTTGTTGTGATGAATGATGTATTAGATTTGTATTGCGTAATTTTTGATGAACTTTTCCATGACGTTTACGTTCATCGGATCGAGCAAAACGACGACCACATGTATCACATGAAAATGGTTTTTCTAAACGAAACAGACAAAAAAAAAAATGAATGTTTTTTTCTCTTCTTTTTTTCGATATATTTAATTTATTTTACCTCCAGTATGTGTTCGAATATGTGTTGTTAAATGATCAGATCTTGAAAAAGCTCGTTCACAAATTTTACATTGAAATGGTTTATCACCTGTATGAATTCGAATATGTCTATAAAATAAGAAATATAATATAATATAATGAGAAAGAAAAAATTCTTGTTCTAATACCTTGTTAATTCATCTGATCGTGAAAATCTTCTTGGACATTGATCAACAGGACATGGAAATGGTCGTTCATGTAATGGAGTTTTAGATGGTCGAGTTGTATAAGTTCTTGGTTTAACAAAATGATTTGTTTGAATATTACCATTTACCATTGGATAATCTTGTGGTTCATCTTTAATACATGATGATGATGATGATGATGGTTGAAATGTAAAATTACTCGATCGATTTGTTGTCCAATCTACACCATTTATATTTATTGTTGGCACAAAATTATTTGATGTTGGTGAAGATTTAACAATAGAATCATGATAGGAAGGAAGTGTTGATTGAGATACTGATGTTTGCGGTGTTCTATATGAAGCATAATGAGACTGTTCAACATAATTCATTGCTGATTTATTTGTTGTTGTTGATGATGATGATGATGATGAAGTTGTTGTTGGTACTGTTGTAGTATTCGATGGACCAATATTATAATCAGTAACAACTGGATTCGATGTTAATAATGTATGAATTTGATCATTTACATTTGGTGTACTAAGAATATTATTATCATTGTTATTGGTATCATTTATAGTTGAATTTTCAATCGATGATTGTATTGATAATGAACTAGTTGGTGATGTTTTTATATGTGAAATAGGTTGTATTTGAAAATTTAATGTAATAGGTTTATTTTCATTAATTAAACTACGTGGTAATTGCATTGTTGTTTTATCATCGATATTTGTTGTTGTTGGTGGTGGTGGTGATGATGTCGGTGATACATCGACAAGTTTTTTTATTGTTAAATTATTGTTAATTACATTTAATGGAATAGATGACGATGATGATGATGATAATTGATTTGTTGAACAATTTTCAATTTCAGTTGATGTTGAATTTGATACAATTGATGTTGTCGGAGTTTGAGAAAGTATTTGAACTGATGATGATTGCGTCTCTAAAACATACAAATAACAATCGATTACAATTCAATAATATAATCTTTCGTTTTATTTTTTTGTCTTTACGAATAATAATGAAACTTTTTTGCGTTTTTGAATGAGTAACAACAAATCAAATAGTAAAACAAAAAGAAAAAACGAATGACTCGTCCTTGTTATGCTAAGAACCTGTGTCAACAAAAGCAACAAGCTAAGCATAAAAACACGTCCTTTTTCAATTCTTTCTTTTTCTCTCTTCTTTTTTTCATAAAAATGATCTATATATATATATATATATTTGATAGTGATAATAGTTCAACATAGATGCCAAAAAAAGAAAATCTACTTTGAAAATTTTTATCTTCAATTAAAAAGAGATTTTCAAGATAATCATCATCTTTAAATACCAATGATTTGGTAAATATTAACAGTATAGCTGACAAATAAAGCCCAAACGTATTATTATCAAATAATAACTTAAGTGTGTTACTTACACCAATATTCAAACGACAACAACTGACTGCAAAACTATCATTAGCCGTTCTCATAAATACTGTTCGAGTTATGTGTTGTTAATTATGACCTCTATCAAGGATTACTTTCTTTTCTTTTTTTTTTTTTGCTTGTCGTATAACAAAAATAGATATGTCGCTCTTGACTTGATACAGATAATCTTTACCTCTATTTGTCTTTTTTTTTTGCTAATATGATTAGATGTTGATTCAAAACGATATCAAACCAAAATAGAATATATATAGCAGTAGTAAATCTTTCTCAAAGTTTGATGAATGACAGGTAACTGATTGAGAAACTAACTCTCTTCTTCTGAAATATATACATAGTTATATGCATATATATATATATAATACAAATAAGGATGAATGCATTCGATGAAACCATGCGAGAATATGTACATATAAAAGAAGATAACAAAGCCTTGAGTATGACAGACACACATATACACACTTGACGACTAGAAGTTAGTATAATGGAATGATAGTTATAACTTAGATAACATAAATTAGTCAATATCGACATTTGACATTTTCTTAGGACAACTATCGGCCGAATGTCGTTACACTTCTTTATAGTTGATAAAACTATATTAGTCAACAGTTGACATCAATTTGTCTGACCGTTAAGTACGAATTAGAACACAATATGACAGTAAAATTAACTTTTTCCTTTCATTACTTTAGCCATAAAACCACTACATAGCATTTCTTTTTTTTTTTTTTTGTTTTCTTTTACTAAACTTTAAAATATGTTTAAGAAATAAAAAAAAGTAAAAATTCTTGTCACTATAGAAAGAAAAATCTATGAATAGCAAGCATTTTTTCTTTTTCTGTATGTGGTAAAAGAAAAAATATGACATAACCGAATCAGAATGGTGGAGGCGAATAAGAAACCATTTATAGATGCAAAATATTAGAATTATTAAAAAAAATTTCTCTATATTGTTTTTAACTTTATAAATTATATCAAAATAAAGAAAAAAA